TAACATGTAAAATGAAGCAACATATTTCAAAAGAAACATATGAACTCTGGATGTTCCTTTAATTAAAATAAAGCGATCGTCGAAGCCGTGCCATCATCCGGGGACGAATTTGGGGACGAATTTCGATTGCTAGGACGAATTTGCTAACAATTTTTGTTAACAAATCAAATCCTTGGACAAGCTGGAAATAACAGAAAAATATCCATTACACTTTAAACTAGATTTTTATATCGATACAAACAGTAAAGTATCAACTACACTTAAATCTAGATTTTTATATCGATACAAACAGTAAAGTATCAACTACACTTTAAACTAGATTTCTATATCGATACAAACAGTAAAGTATCAACTACACTTTAAACTAGATTTTTATATCGATACAAACAGTAAAGTATCAACTACACATTTACCATTGAGCGTAGCGGCAGCGTTAGCGAGCTGCACGAAGCGCTGGTAGAGCGGCCGTAGCGGCGCCCCTGCCGCGTCCCGCCACGCACGCCACGCGTGACGCAACTCCCGCGACGATCTCGACGTAGCCATGATACGGGTCACGTCTGAATATTTCCAGGATTTTGAACATTGATAATTGAACTATGAACAATGATAATTGAACTAGAGAAAACATTGATAATTGAACTAGAGAAAACCCTGATAATTAAACCGTTTATAACACTGATAATTCAATATGACGCAACTCCCGCGACGATCTCGACGTAGCCATCACGCGGGTAAAGTCTGAATATTTTCAGGATATTGAACATTGATAATTTAACTATGAACATTGATAATTGAACTATGAACATTGTTAATTGAACTATGAACATCGATAATTGAACTAGAGAAAACCCTGATAATTGAACTAGACAGAACCCTGGTAATTCAATCGTTTATAACACTGATAACTCAATTATTGAAAACGCTGATAATTATTGGGTACACTGATGGGTAATATAAGTATTGGAAACACTGGTAGTTCAACTATCGAGGACACTGATTAATAGGTGAGAGTTCGTCACTCCGTCAGCCAATCACTGAAGGCGGTGTCACTGAGAAAACTTACCAAACTGTACAAACGAGAAATCGGCCTCTATTTGTATCTATTCGACTTTCGATAGCATGGGCCTATGCAGACAAGTTACTTTGGTTTAGGTATATAATATAAATAATAATTATAGCGGTTTCATCGTACGCCTACGGCCTGATTACAATTAATAATTCGGATTATTCTTCTGATTCTCAACATCGCAGAACCTTCACAGCTTGTTGCGGTCTCGAACAAGCTACTCAGTGCTCTAATTCTGCTGTGCTTAACCGCCCGGCCTCCTTGCCGATTCTGACCAGAAACTGGCACACAGAGCTGGGATCAAACCCGCACCTCTTTGCTCCAATCCTGGGGCCATACTTTCAAAACTCGCTAAGTGACCGTAAAAACTTACGCTCTATTTTCTTGTCTATGATTGGTGGATTTTGCTTGAAAGGCCGTACAATGATTGACTGATGAACTTACGATCTCTTAACTTTTTTTGAAAGTCTGGTACTCTGGGGCCATACTTTCAAAAATCGCTAAGTGAACGTAAGTACTTGCGCTCTATTTTCTTGTCCATGATTGGTGGATTTTGCTTAAAAGGCAGTCAATGATTGGCTGATGAACATATGATCTCTTAACTTTTTTGAACGTATAGGCCCTGAACTGTAACCTCTGGGCCACTCTGCCCAAAACGAGCTGTCGTCAGGGAGAGATGAACTCCCGGCCGTTGGTCACAAGACCAGGGCCTATACTTTCAAAAAGTTAAGAGATCGTAAGTTCATCAGCCAATCATTGACGGCCTTTCAAGCAAAATCCACCAGTCATAGACAAGAAAATAGAGCGTAAGTACTCATGTTCACTTCGCGAGCTTTGAAAGCTCAGTGGCTAGAGCACATCCCCAGTGCTCTAGCCACTGAGCTATGGAGGCAAAGCTTCAAACCGGGTATAAAAGTTTCTTACTCGGTTGGTCTGTTCTAGGCTGAGGACTGGTATAAAAAACTTTTCAAGTGCAATTTGTAATTTACTAACCCGGTTCTAGGTCGAGGGTTGGAAGACAAGTCTTGTTGGCTTCAGTTTCCAAGTCGTAGTCCTGGAAGTCCTCTGGAAGTTCCAAGTTCTGGAGCTCCGACGATGACGCAGGCTCAGGCTCGTAGCGGCATACCCGCGCTGTCGAGTAGTGCGTCTTCATGCGCTGTAGCAGCTCCGAATACTGAACAACATAAATTCGGAATAAATGTTGAAATTTTTTAGGAAATTCTCAACAAAAAGTTCTCAAATTGAACAAATAAAAAAATCCAAAAGAAATTCTCAAGATTTTAAGGATATGTCATGATTAAGGTTATCTTAGCAGTTACTATTTTGGGAGGAGGAAGTAAAATTATTAATAGAACTTGATCAATATATAAGAATAATAAGTTTGGGAAATTAACTTCTTAGTAAAACAGTCTCTAGGGTAATTTATTTAATATTAATTTCAAAGTAGCAAATCTGACTTTGAAATATTTTTAGTTCATCAATTCACCTGAATCTTTTGGTAGCCTAAAATTATTTCTACCACCTGCCATATCAGCCGGGGTATCGCATAAAAACTAGAAAAAAATCTCTCATGATCCTTCAGTAAACGCGTTGGACGTCAAAGAAAACTTCAGAACCCAGGCAATGTTCACGAGCACCACATGGAAAGTCTGCTTTAGAAGATTTATTCGGCAGACCATTGACACAGATTGATACCAGGGGCCATACTTTCAAAATTCGCTAAGTGAACGTAAGTACTTACGCTCTATTTTCTTGTCTATGATTGGTGGATTTTGCTTGAAAGGCCGTCAATGATTGGCTGATGAACTTACGATCTCTTAACTTTTTTTGAGAGTATGGGCCCTGGTGTTGTTTGTCCACGATTCACTGAGCAGAGCTAAAAAACGTAAGTTCGTATAAATGCTTTACACACAAGTCTAAATTTCGTGTGCAGAAGTTCAAACCGCACACTAACACGTGTATCCTTCAACTAAATACTCTGGCACCTTACAAGTCCCAACTTTATACCTAAAATTCCCGTTTCATAAATTGATTTTAAAGAATAAGTTCAGACACTAAAAATATTTAAATGGTCCTTCTCACAACATTAAAGTATCCACTTTTCCTATTCGCATGTTGAATAAAAGAATAAAATTCAGCCCCTAAAAATTAAAGTCCAGGTATTGAAACGGATATATTAGTAACGGGTGTTGCTTAGACATTTTCAGAAAGTTAATGATTGTCTTTAATTATTTAAGTTTTGAATGTGCATCAATCGTGGCGAATCACAAATACAGATTGATTTAACATCTTTCACTAATTTTTCAAATAAGTGGATGATTTAGATTTTAATATTTCTCATTTGACTTATCAGCCGTTAAAAATTAACAGAATTCGATATTATGACAGATGACCGCATTGGGAAAAATCCCACCATGTCTAGTGCTTTAGTGGAAATGGGGCTAGGAAAAGAAAATTATTCTATTGACTCGTTTTGCTATGAACAAACATCCATCTTCTCCATGAGGATACATTAATAATACAACAGATATTTTACCAGGACGAATGTTAGGAACAAGCAATAATTACGACGCAAGTTAATTGTGACCGACCTCTTCTAGGTCCTGGGGCGGTAGAGCTGCCCTGCCGAGCTCGGTGATGAAACTGAACATACGCCTGACGGCTGCTTCACTGAAGTCCCGCCATGCGAATTGCCGACCCTCTTCGAAACTGGCTCGATGAAACTCAGCCCACTGCAGCTGTTGGCTGACCTGATGGGTGAAAGACGGGTAAATGGGGGCCAAAATATTGAACTGTATTACAGGAACTGAGGAACCCAACCCACTGCAGCTATTGGCTGATCTCATTGGTGAAAAAACGGGTAAATGGGGGCCAAAATGTCGAACTGGGTTATAGGTACCCAGTCTACTGCAGCTGTTAGCTGACCTTATGGGTGAAAAACCGGTAAATGGGGGCCAAAATATCGAACTGGATTACAGGAACCCAGCCCACTGCAGCTGTTGGCTGACCTGATGGGTGAAAACAGGTAAATGGGGGTCAAAATGTCGAACTGGGTTATAGCTATAGGTACCAGTCCACTGCAGCTGTTTGCTGACCTGATGGGTGAAAACAGGTAAATGGTGGTCAAAATGTCGAACTGGGTTATAGCTATAGGTACCAGTCCACTGCAGCTGTTGGCTGCCTGATGGGAGAAAAACCGTGCAAATGGGGGCCAAAATGTCGAACTGGGTTATAGGTACCAGTCTACTGCAGTTGTTGGCTGACCTGATTGGTGAAAAACGGGTAAATGGGGGCCAAAATATCGAACTGGATTACAGGAACCCAGCCCACTGCAGCTGTTGGCTAACCTATATAATGGGAGAAAAAACGGTAAATGGGAGCCAAAATGTCGAACTGGATTACAGAAATCCAGTCTACTGAAACCGCTGGTTAATCTGATGTCTAAAAAATATAACTCCGTACTCACTGCAGGGAGTGACAGAGAGCGAATTTTCTCAAAATCGACGTAAACGTGAAGTCACGGACAGACAAACGGACAGACGGACGGTCATGACGAGCAAAATAGACAGTGTCACTATGGTACCATGTCGTAATCTTGACTAGGGCGTAATCTATACTATCACTATACAAAAGTTGAAAGTTTCAGCCAATCACTGACGGATTTTCAAGCTAAACCCATTATTCACAGACGAAAATTACGCCGCTACGTGTATTTAGACCACACCACGCTCTTAACCCTCTACCGCCTGACATGAGTAACCGGAGCAATATTGTCACAATCCTACTTCCCAAAAAGGATAGGTTCTAATGAGCGTAAAATGACTTGCACTGATGGTTGCCGTCACGTACGACTTTAAAATGCTTCCTGTTGCGTACAAACGTCCTCACGTTGCTACACTTAATAGTGTATAATTTTGGTTGAGAGTAACGTATAATTCTGGTTGAGAGTTATGTTCCCCGAGATTGACATATGGCGGTAAAGGGTTAAACGAGTTTTGAAATTACAGACCGAATTCCCTTACCTTGTCAAGCACGATAGCGAAAGGTAGGAAGGCAACTTTTGACAATGCAACACCAAAGAGGTGGTTGATGTCGGTCTCATGTCTATGGAATTGGTCTGCAAGTGATGCTTCAGGCAACAGCCCCAGCGCCCTCATGTGTTGGGGAGTAGACGCTGACAACGCCACCACGTCCCCTATGGCCTCGTGAAATCCGGGGTTTGCACCGTCCCTGCCCAGGGATAAATAATCTCAACCTCTAATTTAACGTGAAAATATAGTTGTGAAGCGAGTAATAACCGAAGTTAAGTCAATTTTGTATATGTTGCATAAATAGTGTACTTTAAAAGTGAATATTCTATGAGAAGTAAATCTAGCTTTGCAAATTTCACACTTCCGATATATTTCGTTTAAGCTATTCCTTTAATCTATTCTATTTGCAACATGGAAATTATTTTACCGGTATTTTAAATTATAGACCGTTTTCTCACCTGTGAATGTAGCTTGGCAGCTTTCAAACAAACATTAGATAAAAGACGAAATTAGAAAGATGGGTTTTCAAACTATCGAGTTCAGCAAAAATAACAGCGAACTGAAAAACAGAAGCATACTCTTTCGATGGAAAGTTGCATGATCTTCACCATCTGTACACTCATTAGTTGGAATTTTGTCTATTAATCCTAGTTGCATATTATTCAATGCCGAAGGTTATCCATAGTTGTCGTAGCGTACTCTGTATTTTGTGAAGAATTTCCCAGAACAAACGTCTTGCATTTGATCCTCGCAAGTGTCACCTGAATATGAAAGGCTGGTTCTTGTAGAGCATGTCATACTGAATATGAGTATATGACCCATCACATGGAGCGCTTTTATTCAGGTACGCTTACCTGAATATAAAAGGCTGGTTCTTGTAGAGCATGTCTTACTGAATATGAGTATATGACCCATTACACGGTGTGCTTTCATTCAGGTACGCTTACCTGAATATAAAAGGCTGGTTCTTGTAGAGCATGTCTTACTGAATATGAGTATATGACCCATTACATGGTGTGCTTTTATTCAGGTACGCTTACCTGAATATGAAAGGCTGGTTCTTGTAGACATATGTAGAGCACGTCTTACTGAATGTGCCCATCTCATGGTGATCTTTTATTCAGGTACGCTTACCTGAATATAAAAGGCTGGTTCTATTTTTTTTTTTGCCGTGTAAATAATGCTGTGTATCATTTATGATCGTCGTCCAAAATATCGTAAGATTCTTCTAAAAATATTTTCTTACGGTTATTTACTTTTCTCCTAACGCACAGGATTAGGTTAACATTAATGTACGGTACCCTTAGTATGAATGGATTGTTGATAGTTTTTGAGTATATTTATTATTCATATGAATATATTTTCTGCACCTTTACATTAAGAAATGTTCATATTTTTCTCTAATACAGTGTTAATTAATAAAAACGATTTTAATAATTGGTCTATTCATTATGATGACGAATGTTTGATTTATTACCCAAAATCAGGCATTTCCTCAGTCTTTCTAAAAAAATATCAGCAGATGTGTTTGCTATGGCGCTCAGATGCCAAATTGAGCTCGGTCAACACAGCTAGTTTATTTAATAGCTTGCACTTCTACAGCTTGAGCGAGAGAAAGCTGCTTCAGAGAAGGAGGCCATGTTGAAGCACAAGCGAGAAGCAGCAGAGCGGCGTCTAGCCGAGCACCCAGATGGAGCTATGATACAGCCTGCCAAGAGCAAATTTGTGAGTAGGAATTCATTTTTTTCATGCCTGTTACCATGTTGATATTGTTGATCGTATTGTATTCGTCTTTTAGGTTTGAGGATACATAAGAATTTATGCAGTCTCATTCTATAGAGGTAATAATGTGTATTTATTCAGTGTCATTAAATAGATGTAATAATATGTAAAGGTCGACATGGGCACATCGTCTAAACAAGATGACAATGATAGGATGCTGCTTTGTAGTGTACAAAGTAATTGAATAATTTTCTGAAGTTTATTACAAGATGTTATGGTTAAAAAATCGTGTTTTTGTTCTCTGCACCTGCATGAAAAATGCACTCCTATGTACTAGATCATTAAATAATAGCTTGAAATTGATAAATGTTTGCTTCTGAAATGCATTTTTCGAATATATACGTTGGTTCTCTAGGACAGCGACAGCGAAGAGGAAGAGAATGACACCAAAGAGCCCAAGAAGGAGAAGACATCCGAGGAAAGCTTGTCATCGGCGGCTGGTCTCCAGAGCACTGCTGTTCCTACACCCGGGGCTCTCGCACCTCATAGAAGGTTCCTTCTCGAACTACTTTAACTATTGCTAATAATGGCATTATTATTTTGATATATTATATAAATACTATGTTTAACTCGCTTTCATAGAAGGTTCTTTCTCAAACTACCTTAACCTTAACTACCTTTCTCAAACTAACTTAACCTTTACTATTACTATTATTATATGAATTTATCATATTTAACTTGCTCTCGTGGAAGGTTCCTAACCATCTTAACTATTGATAATAATGTCATTATTATTTTAATATATTATTTAAATATTATATTTAACTCACTCTCGTAGAAGGTTCCTTTAAAAAAACTAACTTAAATATTAACTATTTACTATTCATTATGTCATTAGTAGCATAATCCATTGTCATTAATGGTTAATAACATTATTTTACATGTAATATTAGCACATTAATATTTTCACGATAACATTATTAATGTCTTTATTAGCTATGCTGCTGCAATGATTTTATTTTTTAACTTCCTGAGCATGCTCATGAGTAGAGTATATTTCGTGTTATAATTGAATTATTAGAATAGCATTACTCTTCTATATGATTTATTATGGAAATGTATGGCAGGCTCTGAGTTATTTCTGTCGGCCACTAAATTGTGTGTAGTTATGTAGCTGTGTCATCGTTGTTTACCTTTAAGTGCATCACAATTCATAGAAGTTTTCAGTAGACTGTGAAGCTATTATTCTACTTGCTCTTTAGCTCATTTTGGGTCCTCTAGGATAGTGTTTTCCATATTTTATAACAGTACCTTGTGCGCTAATGAGCCATGTAAGGAATTTTTCTCTGAAATAACGTATATTGAAACCCCATAGGCTAGAAAAATAAGCTCAGTGAAAATAAGTATTTTAGCCCCTTGCTTTCCCCCAGTGAAAATTGTATAATTTCATACAATTTTAGCGTAATTTCTTTGCAAAGTGTTTCTTAGTAAGACCTGAACTTCTGTTTGCTCAGGAAGTCGCGCTTCGACAGCAGCGTGAAGACGACCTCGTCACTGGCGTCTGTACCGGAGCAGGAGGAAGAGGAACCGCGGCGAGCCTTTTCAGCCAAGCGGGAGCCTTCACCTCCATTGACCCTTACTAGGGAGGAAATAAATCAGGAAATGGTTTGTGCATCATTGCTAAATTTGCGTGTAGCTCGATATTGAACTAAAGAAATGTGCCATATACATTTTAGCGCATTTTCTTATTTATGGAAAAAATGCACTATTGTGCTCGCCATGTTCGTACGTCCGTCTGTCTGTCTGTCTGTCTGTCCGTGACCTCAAGTTTTTGTCGACAAGAAAATGCGCTCTCTGTCACTCACTGCAGTGAGTACTGAGTTATATTTTTTCTGCTTTATTGTTTGAAAATTTACATTTTTCTAAAGGAATGCATTTAATAAAAATTCTATTTTAACGTGTATAATTTATATACCTACTGCTGTTGATAATTTCGGGATACAAAACGGTTGGAAAATTGGTATCTACTGGAAATAGTTTACTATTCGCCACTAGGGCGCTATTAGTTACATTTCAATTAAAGTAACTTTGGTGATCTGCAAACTATAATTTTGGTTTCTATGCTGCTAGGACATTATTGCGTTATTTTATTAATTTTTTTAGTTGTATGCCAAATTACGAGTGTATTTCGATGTGCAGACTGCGATGCTGAGGCGCTGGACGACAGAAATCCTGCTGGAGATGACAAGCCAACTCATGGAGGAGGTGTCTGAGGAGGTGCTCTCCAGGGCCAGGAAAAAAGGTGGGAGGTTTTTAATCCGAGGGATTTTAATGTTAATGTCTTTTATCGGAGCGTGGCCTTTGGCAAAACTGGTTATTGGTTCTATTGGCGAGCTACAAGCCTACCCATTTTGACAAAATTTGGTCAACTTTTCCTGTTTCTATAGAATATTAATAATTGGGATTGGATCTATTTGGCTGTGAGGTTTGTTACATTTTTTTTTTTTTTGTCTTTATCTAATCAATCAAGAACACGTTTTGCTCTGATGAGATTTATTTATCATATGATCATTAAATCTTGTTATTAAATCGTTAAATATACTCGTCAGCTGTTACATGCATTTCCATCCTGATTTATGTCATGGGGGGCGGCGGGGAGAAATGCTCAGAAATTTTAAAGAAGCATTTTGAAATGAGTTGGTGTTTAGCATTAAATGAATTGTTCTGATTATTGTCAGCTTGCTCGTGAGATATCCGAAGCCAGCATAAGCATAGCCCAGGTGTTCCGAATATGTAAATAGCCGTCTCTTGTTTTCAGAATTGAAACCAAATACTGAATGAGAATAGAGATTATAAAAAGCGGTGTCCACACGCAGAAAATTTATATTGCTATCAAGCAAGAGTAGTAGTGCTCGCAATCTGGAAGAAAAATTTTTCACAACACTCGAATTATCTGACAAAACTTGAAATTTGAGGGTCATTTTACAGTAACTATATGCACTTATGGTTGACTCTACTAATTGCGGCGTTTACTTGAATTATTTCAATAGAATTAGGGTATGGCGCACAGTAAACAAGCAAACTTCATTTTGGGATATTTATTTGACGAATCCCGTATCACCGTGTGCAAGGCATTTGTTTGTAAGCTTTCGTTGCTTACTTTCGTCCAATTTCCAGCGCATTTTTTTTTTCTCACATAGTTAGGTAGCACTCCTAATCTTGTATATTGCATAAAAGCAACGAAATTTTTTACCTAACGTTACAACGGGCAAATTATTTCGTGGGAGGTTGAATTTATTTGAATCATCAGGTAAAAATAGTCTTGCTCATCATATTTACTCAACAAATACACAAATTATATGATGAGTTCCAATTCCTAATGACGTTTTTAACCGTCACTGATTTACGCTTAGGGAAGGAAAAAAAATCATAGTACAAATTGTTGAGGTAATTACGTATTATAAATTGTAATTATTTGATTAAGGTTATCAGCATTAACTGAGGAAGCACTTAAATACTAGAACAATTATTTAGTTCCAAAGTCATAAACTTCCTGACTTAGATTGGACTGAGTAAACTTTTGTTCTTTGAAGAAACATGGAAAAAATCAAAGTTTTTGAGCAGCGATTCGGTTGACTAATTTGTGAGATTTAGATTTCCATGTAACGACTTCTTGAGCTGTTGCCACTGCCTCTGTGGCATTTCGTTCGGCCTGTGTGGCATACGTGTGTGGCTGTGTGAACACCACACGCCAAGTTGCCTCCTGCCAGGTGGCTTTTTCGGCCTGACGTAAATGATGAAGCCACCTGCTGCAGATGGTCTTAACACATGTTCTTGTCGTAAAGCTCCAGCTGTTGAGGTGAAGAAGAGCGGACACTCTGCCCTTGCTTCTTTGTCGGGTGGAGTTCTTGGTAAGTAGCCCCTTGATAAGAGTTATAGAATAGACTTTTTGCTCCCCTTGTTATTTAACAGGTCTCCAGTGAGATGTTGAATAATTCTTGTAGGTATTACGAATCTCGAAAAAGACATCTCCTGATCGTTGGTATTTCACACATCAGTTTGAATCCTTTTCACGGGTCACGCGAATGACTTCTTTCCATAGCTAATTTACCAAATCTCAGTGAAATTGTGTCTTCAGCTGTACCGGTACGAGCCTCGGAATAAACTTTTTAAATTTATATCTCTTGTGCTTGGTTCAATACTAGTGAATTTCCAATAAACAACAATATTTGTAGAATTCGTGTGAATCAAAAACATTTCGACAACGTGACGAAGATTTTCTTGGAGATCAAGTTCAGTTTCCTCATTTTTCAAATGATGAATATTTGGCTCCAGTGTTCCCATACTAAATGTGATCATTTGTACCGAAGAATAATTGAAAATCTGAGTCGTAGTTCCGTCTCTTCACTACTTTCAGATTCTCGTCCTTACCCTGAAAGTACTTGTTGTTGTTTTACTTTAAGATTAAATGTTCTGTACCTTCTCGAGTTTCGATAGTTCAATCTCTGATGTATATCATCAATTTTACTTATTTCATTTGATGTGTGATCTTGGACTCATTGTGCCGTCAGCTTGGATTTAGTTTGAGTGTGCGAGTGCATTTCGTTTTGGATCGGAGTACATAATTGTAACTTTTTTCTACCATAGTAGTACTTTTCGCTCGGAAACGAGTAACTGGATGAATGTTCACGTGAATGTGTGCGTTTCATTTACGTTGTTAGAATATGAAATCAGTTTATCGCACCGTTTGTCTTTCTTTAATTGAGCGAAACTTATTTTGGAGCAATAGTAATATTACTTTGACGAGTAACTAGTGATTTCATTGCAAATTCAGTTTTGCTTGCATGGTGCAGTGTAATTGGTGCCCATTATGTGTGTGCAGGCGGGCTGAGCATGTACAGTGACAGCGAGTCGGAGTCGGAGGGTGAAGACAGCGCCCCTGCCGGCCAAGAACAGCAAGCCTCTCCCCAAGACAACAACTCTTCTGAAGACAGCGATGAGGAACTCCGCGAGCAAATCAGGAAAAAGAAGCGTGATTTCCAGATGACTGAACGAGAGATCATGCACAGGTTACAGGAGAAAATTGAAAATGAAGAGAAGGAAAAAAAGATGGAGGAGCTAAGAGCACGTGAAAAATATAAAGAAGAAAGTGTAGATGAAAGTGAGAGAGGGGACGAAAAAATTATCGATGAGCCGAAGCACAAAGTTCCAAAAGTGAAAGAGGAATCTCAGTCAGAGAATGGAGAGACTAAGAAGAAAAATAGAAGAGCAAGCTCGTCCGATCACCTGGATCATGGTACTAAAGGTAATTTCCTGGGTGTAAATCCGGGGAGAGGGTTTAAATCAACGGATAGGGTGTAAATCTGGGGTAAAAGTTTAAATCAAGGTATAAATATGGGGTGAGGGTTTAAATCAAGGGATATAGTGTAAATCTGGGGTGAGGGTGTAAATAAAAATGAACTTGTAAATCAGTAATAACTGATAAGGTTATAAATCAAGAGGGAGCTTGTAAATCAGATGTGAGGTTAGAAATCGATCATGGTATAAATCAGGTGCTAGAGCCCATTTTTTCCTGTATTTTATTTTATGTTTATTTTCCCCGTATAAAATTCAATGAGAATTGGTTGGGCAGAGCTTAAATTATTTAAATTTTGACGAGAAATGTCTAATTTTTGATAGTGTGGCTGTGGCGATACTTCAAAAAATGCTGTTGTATACAGGTGCTCACATTTGAATTAATGATCATCAATATAAGTAACATCAGTTGTAAAAATTATAGATATATACGCACCAAAAGCAATCAATTTATATTGATCATATTCATTTGTTCAGTGAAAGAACGTACGTCTGAAGACAGCAACACTGGACGACCAGAGGAAGTATCTGAAGCTTCTCAGGACTCTGAGCCTGACTCGTTGCCTTCAGAAAAGAGCACCTCAACGACCAGCGAGGAGCGACGGAACAAGAAAAAGAAGAAAGACAAAAAACAGGCTAAGAAAAATAGTAGTAAAGAAGAATCCAAAAAGAGGAGTAGGTCCACTGAACGAAAAGCTAAAAAGGAGTCAAAGAAAAAGAAACGCCGACGCCGAGATGAGTCTGAGTCTGAATCATCCGACGATTCCGATGTTGGTCATGGAAATTATTTGTCTCGTGGGAAGAAATATTCGCGAGAGCATTCACATTCGCGGGAACGTCGGCACCGAGAGCGAAGTCGCAGTCGACGTAAAGGCAGTCGCTGTGACAGAAGTCGTAGCCAAAGCAGACACAAATACCGAAGTCGAAGCCGCAGCAGACGACGAGAACGCAGCCATAGTCGCAGCAGCAGAACTTCGTATTCATCAAAACGATCCAGTAAACGCTCGCACAAATACAGGTCTCGATCAAATTCTAGATCATCAAGCCGATGCAATTCCAGAGTTAGCTACTCATCGTACTCTAGTCGCAAGAGAGCAAGGAGATCTCGGTCTTAGAACTCTCTCTGCATTTGACATGTACAGAATTATTACGCTACCAGTTTTCGTGGTTCCAAATTATGTACATATTGTAAAAGATTTCAACTTCTGGTGCTAACGTTATCTGTAAATTCTTCTAGTGATTGTGTCGGAAACCTTCAATATACGTAGATTCTATTCATTCATCTCGATTGAATTTAAATATAAATCTTTTTCTTGAATTCTCATCGAACGTGTGCAACGTCAACTATTTTCGGATGTCCATCTAAGCATTGATGTCACTAATTTTGCGAATGTAATGTAAACATCGCTTCTGTAGCCAGCCAGCCTCATCGTCTCCTGAAAAATGCTCGACTCTTCTCTCACGTGAATGTCGTTGTAAACCATGACCCGATATAATGAGTATTTGTCAGGCGATATTGCAGCTTCTATTTCTTCGCTCCCAGCAAACCTAGCATCTGAAACTAAAAATACAATTCGCCTCCAACAAATAACGTGGCTGTTGGCCCGATGGTACCGGCAAACTACTTACACGCTTCACATCTGTCAAACTTCACTTCAAGAAAACGACCCCCGTCAGTCGGCTCGAAGATAAGTTTCCGTTTTCACCGCTCTGGTAAGGACATCATAAGGTAAGCTTAACTCCCTGTCGCTTTCAGTCTCACGATGTTGAATTCGATTTGTGTTAAACTGCATTGTATTTAGCAAAATCCATGTGGATTTTATTATTGAAAAGACTTGTAATCATCAAATAGGACAGTTGTAATCAGTGACCAAAAAGTCTTATTTACTCTTCATGTAACGAAGTACTTAGGATAGGTAGTGAATTCACCCCCCGTTGAAGACCCTTCAGGCTTGTTCAATATAAAGATATGTCAGTCATGTATGCAGTTGAACTTTGATAATGTCGTGACTGACAGGTGTGCAGAGGATAGTTTTCATCGGCATCTAACATTAGCAATATTGTTGGTTGCCGATAGGTTTGCTGAAAGTGGTAATAACCTAAAAGAAACATTTGTTGTATTTAACATAATGTAGATGATATTAACAATACATAGTAATTAAAATACTAAACACTTCATTCATTCTTCCCGCAGGTTAGAAGAGCATCATTCCTTCAACGCAGTATGAGTAACTATATGCATAGAATCGTTTAGATTCAAATTGTAGAAATAATAAAATATTTTACTAATTATTCTAGGAATGGAAAATCAAAAGTAATACACTATTGCATTCATCTATGTGTTGCTGATACGTACCGGTGAAATTTATCTTGTGCAAGCTAGAAATATATAATAATTTCTTATGAATCAGTCTAAATTGATAATATCTAGTATGTGCAAAAATTACAATATCATCCATCTTTCCTTGCAATTTAGTTAATATAGTGGAAACTCTTATTACGTGTGCGAAAAATGTAAAAATAAACAGAATGAACGCTGGAAAGCATTAGTTATCTAAATTAATATAGTACACATTTATTAAAAAAAAAATTAAAAGCATTAAGTTCCGGTCTTTTACTGAGACCTTGTTGCTGTGGTATCAGGTTGCTTTGTCTTGGTCCAGCGTCGGGCGAGGACACACGCTGCGACCATCACGAGTGTGATGAACAAGAGGGCAATGATCACGTAGGCTGCAGTAGCGGCTTTTGAACCGTTGTTTTCGTGACGTCCAGCTATCAAAGCCTCCGACGCATCTGCAACAATAATAACATTTTTTCGTTAGACGTGACAGTGCAGTTGTACGCATGGGCAAAAATTCTACGTTTCCATTTGGCTTATTGTTGCCCTTTTTAGCTCGAACTGATTAATTTCAATACTGACGCGTGGCTAAAAACTGGATATAAAGGATAAATATTGCCGTTCGTCATATTTTATCAGTCATGTAAGAGAATTGATACTCGTACTCACTCCATCCGAGCTCCTCCTTATCATTGTGTTCCGCTAGCCAATCCTGCAGCGGCTGGAAGAAGCGTAATATAGGTCCAGCGTCCAGACGGTTGTACTGGCCAGCTGTGAGCTGGGCAAGAACGCTTGGCCAAGGTTCAGACCGGCCAAGGGATAATCCCCTCCTGAAAATGAGATAAATAATTGCAGATATGGAAGTTTGCTTCAGCGTTAAAAAATTGAGGTTTATTGCAAGCGAAACGCGATATTGTTCAATCTTTAGTGTCGAGCAATAGTTAGAAGGATTTAGTCACAATAGCAAAATCCTTATTAGATCTTCTATTCGTGATCGACATATTCTCGATATTAATCGTCTTAAGCAAGAAGATGCGTGTCATTCGAAGGATACCTGCAAGACTTGGTTGTGATTACAGCATATGATAATATAAACTATACTCCAAATTGCGAATTAATCATAAACTTGTACTCTCAACATTCAAATCCCATGATCGGTACTTAATATTGATAACAGTTGAACTTTTGCATTATTGCAAATGTAAACAGATCAAATGTAACGATGTAAATTAGCTATGCCTACCTGAGTAATTCGCCAGCTTGTTGCGAGCCATAAATGCTGCACGTGTGCAGAGATCCTTCATGACCAGCCACTCTACACAGCGTTTCGTGGAGCTGGAACTGCAGCAAAATACTTACGAGGTATCTGTGTGAAAATTACACCATTAGTCTCCTACATACACTACGATATATTGTTGGGATATTAATAGAAAACTAATATACAGGCGACTGTAATACCACAGTCAGGATGTAATACCACAGTTGGGATATTATTGGAAAACATATTCTACGATATATGGTTTGGATATTAATGGAAAACTATTTCTTCAGTTGACGCTAATTCGCAAATTCGTTCAATAACTTGTTAAATAACAACACTATGATAAACCTGCTGGTATGCTTATATCGCAAGTTTACCAAGAATTTAAAAGCTAAGAAAATTACTAGCATTTGGACTTTTTCGGCCTTAAATTATTTTTTTACACTGAAATAAGTTCAGATGAATTTTGCCAGAAAGAAGGCGAAGCACAATGTTCGTTTATAACCAATGGAATGAATGTTTACAGTGATCAAATAGCCCTTGTTTGCTTGAAGCGCGTCTTCACTAGGAATTTTTAAGCAAATTAAATTTGCTTTAAAATAAAATTTATCATATTTCTGTAGAAAACCTACGGAGTCCAGCTTCATCGTCCGTTTGGAAATTCTAAACCACAGATTCAATCAGTACTTAGTACAGTCAAAAATATTTCTGTACTCCCAAGCGTTGTGTATAAAAATATAAATTTTCAGTGAATTTTCTTTGCTTTCAAAGAAATATAATGGAAAAATTCTGAAAAATTTAGAATGAAGAAATTAAATTTTTACTGAAATGAAGGTTTCGATGAGCATTCTGTACAAATAAACGATACTTACGCAACGAAGATTTACCTCATGGTTGAAATATATAAGGTTGACCCACGAGAAGTTCCGTCTTTCAGTTCAGCTTTCTTGTTACGTCACGTAGATCGAGAAACGTAAACAAACGGACGGATTGGTTGACTGGTTTGAACGTATTTCGGTGATTAGTTAATGCCCGTGATGTCATTGAGATCAGTGACGTCATAGGCGAAAAACAAGCTCCATCCGCGAAAATGAGCTTCTCATGGGTCAACCTTATACTAGTTCAACCATGATTTACCTGACGTAAGGCGTGTTTGCCGGTACGTGATATTTGGCGCCGGGATCAAAATCCCGCTCGGTCCGCAGCACCGGAGGGGCGACTCCGCTATATTCCATCCGCATTTTCCACCACTCAGCGTTGTAGGAGTTCGGGGTAATGTCGCCTCTGAACACTCCCCACCTCCACTGCAATATTCAATTTTACGTCAAGGAAAGTAATTCCTTATATCGTTCAATCGGTGCAAGAATGAAAATTTAATTAGACTAATATTCATTTACCAGAAGCGCGTTTAAAAGACTGAGGGTTCTTACTGTCGTATCAAATTTTTGCCATCATGATTACTAGGGCGATGCACGTCTCACGAAACGCTGTACACCGAGGAAAACGTTGATATTTTTTCCAATTTGTCATCCAATTGATTAGTTCTCGTGTCCCTTCAACACGAGATGTCAAATTTAGGTTGAAGCTTCATGTCACTACCTTCTTGTAAAAAATTTATAGAAAATTAAGGTTAAGATGTCTGCATCGAAAGTAATAAATTTTAAGTTTACGCAAGTATTTATCATAAATATAGGACCGCGAATTGAATGCTCTATCTAATTTGAAATTGTTACTCATCTTTTAGTGGCTATATTGCTCATTTAAGGAAGATCATCAACGCTGACACAGTGTCACTATGGTACCTTGTCATAATCTTGACTAGGGCGTAATCTATACTATCACTATACAAAAGTTGAAAGTTTCAGTCAATCACTGACGGGTTTTCAACCTAAACCCATTATCCACAGACGAAAATTACTCCGCTACGTGTATTTAGACCACACCACGCTCTCAACCCTCTACCTCCTAACGGGAATAACCGGAGCAATATTGTCACAAGCCTACTTCCCAAAAAGGATACGTTCTAGTGAGCGCAAAATGACTTGCACTGATGGTTCCGCCACATACAACTTTAAAATGCTTCCTGTTGCGTACAAACGTCCTCAGGTTGCTACACTCAATAGTTTACGTATAATTTTGGTTGAAAGTTATGTTCCCCGAGATTAACATATGGCGGTAATGGGTTAAGCGGTTTTTAAAATTACAGATCGAATTCCCTTACATAATAATAATAATAGCGGTTTCAGCATTTAGTGGGCCGTAGGCCTGTCGCCGATTCTTAACATCGCAGAACATTCACAGCATTTTTCGATCTCGAACTCGCAACTCACTGCTACAATTCTGTTGTGCTTAACCGCCCGGCCTCCTCGCTGATTCTGACCAGAAACTGGCGCACAGAGCTGGGATCGAACCCGCGCCTCTCTACTAAAATTTTGGTACTCTGAACTTTAACCACTGGGCCACCTTACCTTGTCAAGCACGATAGCAAAAGGTAGGAAGGCAACTTTTGACAATGCAACACCAAAGAGGTGGTTGATGTCGGTCTCACCCATCACATGCATGTGTGCTTTTATTCAGGTACGCTTACCTGAATATGAAAGGCTGGTTCTTGTAGAGCATGTCATACTGAATATGCCCCATCTCATGGTGTGCTTTTATGAAGTCCTCCATAGTGATGTCTGTGCACATTTTCACTCTGGAATCGTATGAATGAGTTTAATTTATTTAACTTTATACACTTAAAATGAAATTCGTCCAGATATTTAGACGAAGTGTCTGGACATTGATTGTAATGAATATTGTAGCACCTATAATAAATCTAGAATTAAACCGTGATAAAACATGAAGGATCGGAGCATATATATACCTTTAAAATTAAAATTAAATAATTAAATTAACGTTATACACTTAAAATGAAGTTCGTCCAGATATTTAGACGAAGTGTCTGGACATTGATTGTAATGAATATTGTAGCACTTATATTAAATCTAGAATTAAACCGTGATGATACATGAAGGATCGGAGCATATATACCTTTAAAATTGTTTTGAATTACGTGCAACAAAGTTTATTATAGAGCACTAACAATTAAATATTTATTGAAACTGATCACATTAAATACGTGTTAATGATAAGACTCATCCTGAGGGAAGTGGTTTAGCTTAGAGTTCAATAGAAAAAGCAAAGTTCTCATTAATGAAGTAATAGTTAAATTTTTATACAAGAAAGAGTGGCGAGCAACTTGAAAACGAAGAAAACTCACATTTCACTTGCAATCGATGGCGGTGTTAGGCACTATAGGCAACACATATATAGGTTTACCTCGAAGCATTGAAGTAGCAAAAAATAGGTATAATTATAGGTACAATTGTCTGGATAAATAATGGCTAATGTGGAAGGACTATGCAATTTAATGACACCTGTTATTCTCCTTTAACACGTTGACTACGATTGCTTCATCTTGTACTATTATTTCATTTTTTGTACCTTTTTTAAGCAGGGTTGCCAGACGGTCATTTATTCCCGACAAATTCCGTGATTTAGTTTTTTTTTCAATTGCGTTGGCCGGCTAAAATTTATGATAGGGGTACTTCCTAATCAAATTTTAAATACTGCAAAAAGAAAATAAATGAAATTTGTATAGCGGAACCTACAAATAAACTAGTATACATTGAATTATCGGCCTTTTTTGCCTTTTTTGTTCTCGGATTTGGCCGATTTCAGGCAAGCGAATTATGTACCACTACGTACCTCCTAGAGAAATACATTTCGTGGTACGCATATGTACCAATACGTAATCAACGTGTTAAAAAACGAATTCCGAATATTTCAGTTTTGAGCGGTGCTGACCAGAAAACCGTTACAGATAAAAGTAATCGTTCTGCTTGAATCCTGATTTATGACTTTTTTCAGGGCATTTCACTCTTATTAATAATACGATATCTTCTGTCTACGACAATACTTTTCCTACATTTTGATTTCCGAATAATTTCAATTTAATACCGTGGCATGTTTCTTGTTTTAACTAAAACCCTCGTCTTGTACAGAACTGAAAAATACCCAAGACTTCAGACTTACATGACTTATACAGAGTTATAAAATTGTTAAAGTTCTCGGTAAGCACAAATACCAAATTATTTTTTTGCAACTACACTAGTTGTAATAATTTATCGAATTATATAATTTAACTTACCTGTAATCATTGCCATTGCACATGTCCCACGCAGAGGCGTGACAAACAACCTCCCTGCCCCGAGGTCTGCTGAACATTGAGTCCCTCCAGAACGACATGGGCATCGGGTCTAAGCCGAGCGACCTGCGATTGCATAGAAATGCTTGGGAAACAATTTTACATCGCAATTATACTGCATTCTTAAGATAAGAAATTAAATCCAATACTATATATAGAGCCGAGAGACCTCTTATTGTATAGAAATGCTTGGGAAACAATTTTACATTGCAATTGCACTGCATTCTTGTGATAATAAATTAAATCCAATACTATATATAAAGCCGAGAGACCTGCAATTGTATAGAAATGCATGGGAAACAATTTAACATCGCAATTGCACTGCATTCTTATGATAGGAGATTAAATCCAATACTATACATATATTCGAGCGCTGTGAAACATAATGACAATATATATAAAATAATAGTGCAACATAATGATTGATATTTATATTTATATACTGCATGTGGGAACAGTTTTTGGTATGACGAACTTCTTTGATTTTTTGTGCAATAGTTATCTACTAAATAACCTGAAAATGATAAAATATACAGCATCTGTAGAAATTTTCAGCAAGACGGAACATCTGATGACATGTCATGAAAGTGTTAATTATCAACAAAGAATCATCATTAATCAGTAACATATCCTAAAAGATAATCAGATTTACTACACCTGAAGAAATTACCAGCAAGACGGAACCACTGATGGCATGTCATAGAGGTGTAATCAGAAAATAATCATCATTAATCAGCTACATATCCTAGAAGATAATCAGATTTACAGCACCTGTAGAAATTATCAGCAAGACGGAACATCCTGAGGGGGGTGAAGCCCTGACGGCGCATCTCAGCGGTGATGTCGTGGGGGGCGCGCTGGGGGAAGGGCACCGTGATGGGCAAGATGGCTGACCAATCCTGAGCCCACATGTTTCCTAGGGCAAAAAATAACTCAGTACTCACTGCAGTGAGTGAGAGAGCGTATTTTCTCGTCCGTCCGTCCGTGAAGTCACGGACGGACAGACAGACAGACGAACGGACGGACATGACGAGCATAATAGCGCCTTATTTTTCCCATAAATGAGAAAATGCGCTAAAAATATATCATGAAACACGATTTTGCACGATTACTAGTATTCCATATAATTGATTAATTATACATGTTCTCTGGTCAGAAAAATTATTTCCAAATGAAGTAGTATTTCGTAGGATTGTACGTCTATATTAAATGACTTCGACATGATTTGCGCAAATATTATAATCCAGTGACGCAATATTTAGCAAAATTGTAAGTTTTAATTAAATCAATTAAATGACACGGACATGTATCCTAAAAAATTATATCCTTATGGATAAATATTTTGCCGTAACTATATACAAATTTGCATTAAATTATTTCCACACTATTCCTGAATAAATAAATTTAAATAAAACACAGTTTCGAGGAATAATTCGTTTAAATTAAATTACTTATGAACCACGATCAATACACCATCAATACAAGCAATGAAGTTTTTTTGTCACTAAGATTTAAATTTATACGAGTTTTTCGTTAATATTTACACGAGTTGTATCCAGATACCTACTAACAAAATATAGGAGATTGTCTGAATATATTTATCATCCGCACTTACAATTATAATAAGCATTCATAATTTTTATTCATAATTTTACTCTGAATTAGGCTAATGAAGTATAAATTATTGAATACATATCAATTTTCCAGTGATTGAAAAAGTTTTTTCGTATTACTCAAGGCTGGATTTCCCAAAGTTTTTACGATTACATAAATAATTTTTTGATGTATAATTCAACCAAATTTATTATTAAAAAAATTATACCTAAAATTTTAGATTAATTTCAATTTTTAAATTTCTAGTTATAATATGACATAAGTAATAATATCACTCGTTTGCTTGAATCGCAAATTCACTAAAAACTTAATAGCAAAGAAAACTCCACAAAAATTCATAGTATCTTTAAAGAAAACGTTTCGGAGTCCAGCTCCATCGTCAGTTCGAAAATTCTAGAACACAGATAAATCAGTGATTAGTACAAGTCAAGAATACAACGAAAATCCTAAGCTGCAAAACCTAC